GTATATATGTGTGTGTGTATATGTGTTTTTATTAAAAAAACAACAACAACTGAGGGTTTTGAATGAGAAGCTGTTATGTAGCCGTGGTGGGAATGAATTTTGGTGTGGCGCCCCGCCATGGAAGAATGAATATAGTGGAAACCATGGTTGTTATATATGTTTGGATTTACCATATACCTATTTGTGTCATGAATGTTTAAAAGTGTTCATTTGTTTTATTTTCCCAGAATCATTCAGCAGTTAGTTAATGGAATTATTGCTCCGACAGCAATGCCAAACATGGCAATGGGGCCCTGGTGAGTCAACAACACACACACTCTGTCTGTCTCTCTCTCTGTCTCTCATTCTCATTCATGATTGGCATCATTTCTCATTTTTCAATCCGCAGCTGATCACTCGATCATAAATATGTGTTTTACAGGGGAATGCTGCACTCAAACCCAATGGACTATGCATGGGGGGCCAACGGATTAGATGCCATCATAACACAGGTAAATATATAGTCTGTCTCGAAGAGGAACATGATGGCTTATTGCTTTATTTTACAACCAAAGGGCCACAGAAAACTCCACAGAGCCACTTTTGCAATACTGTTGGTGCAGTAAAAAACAGCATTGTGACAATTCTGTGCCTGTTTTCATCCTTGCAGTTATTAAATCAGTTTGAAAATACGGGTCCTCCTCCAGCAGACAAAGACAAGATTAAAAGCCTCCCTACAGTCCAGATAAAACAGGAGCATGTGGGTAAGAATATTAGCTCATCTGCGAGTGCTGTTTTGCTTTGCTTTTTTATTAGCTGCAAAGCTTCGAATGGGATTAATTTTGAGGGAATTGATGTGCTTCAGTCCTATAACACTAACTAGTAAATTTCACACAATAAAAGCATCTCTGAAGCTCTGCATCTAATAATTCATTCATTTAATATATGCAAATGCTTTCAAAAGATTGAAAACTTCAGGTCCTCCATGAGCTGTGTTTATATTTTAGTGTTAATAAAGTGATTTATAGAACAGGTTGTCTGTTTATCCAATTAGTTATATATATGTATATATATATATAGTGTTATAGATACAGTGTCTTTTTATATTAGACGTACATTACCTGACAAAATTCTTGTTCTTGCCTATCCAAGTTTTAGGAATAATAAATAATAATTTGACTTCTAGTTGATCATTTGGTATCAGAAGGAGCTTAAATGAAAGGCAAAGGCCTCTAGATGATGCTAATTTGACCAAAATAAAATATGATCATGCCTTGATTTTGAATGATTTCATTAGGACAGTAAGGTCTGACTTTGCTTAGACAAAAGTCTCGTCACTGAACAGAAATAATGTCCAGTATAGAATATAAAGTCCTGCTGCAGTGGAGACAGAATGAATATTGTGTCTGACTCCATCATGAGCTTGGAGGACTGCATCCATACATCTCTGACATGACTCAAATCACTGATTAATAAAGTCATCTGGAATGGCAAAGAAAGCATTCCTGCAGGACTCCCAGAGTTTATCAAGATTCTTTTGATTCATCTTCAATGCCTCCTCCTTCATGCTCAATAATTTTCATGTCTGGTGACTGGGCTGGCCAATCCTGGAGCACCTTGACCTTCTTTGCTTTCAGGAGCTTTGATGTGGAGGCTGAAGTATGAGAAGGAGCGCTATCCTGCTTTAGAATTTGCCCTCTCCTGTGGTTTGTAATGTAATGGGCAGCACAAATGTCTTGATACCTCAGGCTGTTGATGTTTCCATTCACTCTGCAGATCTCTTGCACGCCCCCATACTGAATGTAACCCCAAACCTTGGTTTTTCCTTCCCCAAACTTAGTAGTAGTAGGTCTTCTGCAGTATTTGTCATGGTTGGGATGCAGCTCAACAGATGATTCATCAGAAAAATCCACTTTCTGCCACTTTTCCAAATTATCATCTAAAAAACAAGTTATTATTTGTTGTTTTTACAACTGGGATCAAGACAAGACTTTTGTCAGGTAGTGTGCATGAGACATTATGTGGTTCTGCTATTTACACCTTATTTTAAATTGAATGCCACTCTTTATTTTGGGATACAATAATGCAAAAAAGGTGCAATTTGCATTGCAGTTGTAAACGTTTCTACTCCAGTTTGTTGTTGAAAAATCTAATAAATTAAACAGCGGCTGACAAAACTTGTTGATTTAAAGTAGGAATGCCCTGGAAGGAAAACAGAGTTGACTGAAAACTGAAACCAACAAATGTTTTGTAATAATTATTTATTAACTTATAGAGACTTTTTTAAGTTTAGCATAGTAAGTAATATAAAATATTATAAATTATACTGATTAAAAAAAAACACAAGCCAATCAAATAAACACATTTTATTAGCGATTATTAACAGTTTTTTGATTCATTTTTTAGTGTTTTTTTTTTTTTTTTTTGGTACATGACAAAATAGCACAAACACATTACAAATGATCACTGGTAAGGCCTACTTAATGTAAAGCCAGGATGTATACAGTGGTTACTATAGACAAAAGTGCAATATTATAGAAAGAACCTGGTGAGTAGTTTTAAATTGTGTTACAAGACATCGTCACGTACGACCGAAAGTCTTCCCACACTGGGATACACACAAGGACCCCTGCTTTGTCTTTATTATGTAATTTATAAAGTAAACGTTCATACAAAGCTGTTTTAGTCATTAAATTGACTAAACTTTTAATTTGGGGAGTTATTCATTGTTTTAAGATGCTTCTAGCCGTCACTGAAATACCCACCATGATCACTGTGAACTCTTGTAATATTTGGCATCTGTTCTCTATCTCCCTGTAAGCATAATTTTGGGGACAGTGGTATTAATGTTTCAAGCCATTTGCCTTATATTTAGGGTTTGGTGCCAAAAAGGCTGAACTAGTGAACAGTACCAAATACAATGAATTAATGAGCCTCTTGCTTTTTGACATTTCCAACAAACATTATTATTTGCCAGACCCATTCTATTTAGTCGATGCAGTTTTATTGATTATTAAGCAAATTACAGATTAGAATACATTTTTCTCTTTACATAATTAACAAAAATGAACAATGGACACTTCGCTAAGCCCCGCCTTCCTTAGTTACTGTTGCTACGACTGTCAAGCTTTCGTGCCTGGCAAGGCTTTTTCAATGTGTGTGCGCCGGTGTCAGACATTGCCAGGGATATAATGTCATTTTTGGCGAACAGGTGAGATATGCAAGAAAGCCAGACAACAAAAGGACTGCAGTATGCATTACAGGGGTAAATTCACGGCATAATAGGCAACCGATTAGAGAATAAATCAATCAAAATTGAAGCTAGCTTAGCCTAGCCGCCTCATACGCTGACCATTTAACAACTTAGCTTATGCTCAGCAGGAGAGGTGACATTTATAAATACTCTAATAATAACTAATGGATCCATTATTTCTCTATTTTAGCCAAAAAGCCTGATAGATTAATTGTTGTGCAATGAAATATAGCGTTACTAACCGACGAGGAAACACGCATGACAGTGCTTTTACATAGTTCATTCATAGAAAGAACAGCCAGAAAGGGGAAACTGATAGATTTGTGCCGAATATTAGCATCATTGACCCATAACAATGTACAGTAAGTTACCTATTACTGTCAGTATGTTTGTGTGCTCTTTATAAACGACTGAAAAACAGCTGCTGGTAAAGTATATTGATCGCAAGTGCTCAGTTTTGTTCTGTTGATTTGTAATTTTAAATATTTGTAGCTTGAAATAAGATGTAAATATGAAGTTCAGTAAAGTTCGGACAGATTTCTCAGATTCGTATTTTCTGGATCAATAACTCATGACATTATGACCTATTAGTACCTATTAGCGCTATTAGTATGACTAACTTAACTAACGTTATGGCGAAGGCTTAAACAGAGCATTTCTCACAATATCAAGCGAAAAAAAAAATGAATAAGACAGCTGTGAAACATAACCAGCTTTGTTTTTTTTTGTAGGAAACACAGTTTAGATCTGTTTAGGGTAAGAGGTGTGTGAGTTATTGCCGTCTGTCTATCACTGAATGTGTCAGTAATATCATAACAAAACCAACTTCGCTCCGCTCCTTTAGCGCCACTTACACAGCTTAATCCACGCTGGCATTTCTCCTCTTGGGTTTTAGGTTTTGAAAAGGGAAAAAAATTCCACCGCCCCATCCAAACTTTAAGGATACCGGGTATCAGATTTGCACTATAATCCATATGCACTCGCTCAAAAGCTTGACAGAGCCCCTGCGCGTATCTACAGTTGCTAAGCCACGATTGGTGGGTGGCAGTTTTTTGGTGTGGCTTACCGAAGGGTCAATTAACAACAACAACAACAAAATACTATAACAAAACCCAAACTAGTCCCCAACTAAGGTATTATTGGCTATAATTAAATACAATTAAAACCTTTGATATACAAAAGTCAAATCTACAAATCTTACAAATCTTAAACACGTTTTATTAACCATAACATTGAATTAAGCAACAAAAAATGTACAACTATATTAGTATACAAACTTTGTGAACACATATTTAAGATTTACTTGGATTGGATTGGATTGACCATTACAGTACTCATAAAAAAAATCTACAAAGTCATTATTCGCTTTAATAGAAATATGTTATATGATATTATTATATGGAGTTTTAGGTTATTTGCTTTACTAAAAACAATCATGTCCCTTTACTGAATTAGCCAAATGCATTATGATGTAATTTAGTGATGATGATAATGATGATGATGTGTTTGTTAACCGCGATCAGGTGCAGGTCTGGAGTGTCCAGTGTGTAAAGAAGACTACAGTGCAGGAGAAAACGTCAGACAACTTCCTTGCAATCATCTCTTCCATAACGACTGTATAGTTCCCTGGCTCGAGCAGGTGCTGCACTTTTCCACATTTACAACCTCTGACATCATTTATTACACTACTAATGTTTCCACTTGACATTAATTTTATTAGTGTACGGAAGGGCTGGAGTTTTAAATTGAGTTTCCACTAATGACTAAGAATGTTTAAACGTTGGATGTTTTTTTATCGAATTAATATGCATGTTGCAATTAAAAAAGCACTTTTGTAAAGTAATGTTCCAGTGTCTGAGTTTGACAAGAGCATGTTTCTGAAAGCCTGTTGCTGCCAAACTCAGACACTTTAGATTATTTCATTATAACCTCCTGATGAGGAGAAAATGAACAGAACAGGATGGAAATGAAGAGCTGAATTTCGTTTCAGGTAGCGATTGTCAGTTAGCATCTACTGGAAGTTTATTTTCAGAGTATTACATGGCATTTTCCAAATAAAACAAGACAATTTCAGGAATTTTCTGACACTGGAAAGAAAGGTAAACATACTTTTGTTTGTGCTGTAGTTCTCGCACCAAACTGATGTCACTTCCCATAGCCTGATGAAAGTTTTTATAAGCTGATTTATAGAACAAAAGGAAAAATTACAGAAACAAGTTTTAATACAAGTAATATTTCATAATTATGATAAGTGCAGATGTGTGGATGAACAAAAATTACTAATGAGAATTCAAAATTATGTAGAATTTTATTAGTATTTAGGTACTTTTTTATTAGTTACATTCATTATAATTTACTTCATTCATGTAACTTATTCCTGTGAATTAAAGCTGATTTTTTGATGCAGCAAAATCTGACTCATTACTGTAATGCAGCGAAATCTGACTCATTACCGTAATGCAGCAAAAACTGACTTATTGCCATGTTACAAAATCTGGCTCATTACCGTAATGCAGCAAAATCTGACTCATGGCCATGATGCCACAAAATCTGGCTCATTACCATAATGCAACAAAATCTGACTCATTATTGTAATGCAGCAAAATCTGACTCATTACCGTAATGCAGCAAAATCTGACTCATTACCGTAATGCAGCAAAATCTGACTCATTGCCGTAATGCAGCAAAATCTGAATCATTACCGTAATGCCACAAAATCTGGCTCATTACCGTAATGCAACAAAATTTGGCTCATTACCGTAATGCTACAAATTCAGACTCATTACCATAATGCAACATACTCTGAATTATTACAGTAATGCAACAAAATCTGACTCACTTCCATGATGCAAAAAAATCTGACTTATTACCATAATGCAGCAAAATCTGACTCATTACTGTAATGCAACAAAATCTGACTCATTGCCGTAATGCAACAAAATCTGACTCATTGCCGTAATGCCACAAAATCTGGCTCATTACCGTAATGCAACAAAATTTGGCTCATTACCGTAATGCTACAAATTCAGACTCATTACCATAATGCAACATACTCTGAATTATTACAGTAATGCAACAAAATCTGGCTCATTACCGTAATGCAAAAAAATCTGACTCTTGATCAGACTTGTGAAGCCTGTTATTTTCAGTTGTTTAATCATTTCCATAAACCAGTAATAGTCACATGCTCTGTGTGTGTTTGTGTGTGTGTTTGTGTGTGTGTTTGTGTGTGTGTGTGTGTGTGTGTGTGTGTGTGTGTGTGTGTTTTCTCTCTACAGCACGACACGTGTCCGGTGTGCAGGAAGAGTTTGAGCGGTCAGAACACAGCCACGGATCCTCCAGGCCTGTCAGGGATGAATTTCTCTCCATCGTCCTCTTCCTCTTCCTCCTCCAGCTCTCCAAGCAACGAGAACGCCACTAATAACTCATAAGAGCTCAGTCCACGTCCAGAACACATCATTGTCTTCATCATCATCTTCATCATCATCAGCTCAGCCCACTGCGCCCACACCAGAACCCTGAAAACACGGCGCTGGACTGATGGAGAACTGAGCCATCACACACATTATCACACAAACCTGACCAGCTCTGAGAGCAAGCCAAACACACACACACATACAAACACACACACACTTACATATACAAACACACACACACACACTCTCCTCTAACACTATACACCCCGCCTCCTTTCTTTATTTTAAAGCGCTAAACTTCAGAGCCATGAGTTCTCAAGGTTTCAGCGCACACCTGTCCACATCACATGCTTTTAATCAGCAGAAAGGAGGAGGAAAATGCTGAGAGGAAGAGAGAGATGAAGAACAAGAGGAGATGCAGACACACTCACAGCTGAACTGCGTTTTTAAAAGCAGACTGCGTGTCTCTGGAGAGCGACACGCTCATGAAGAACTTTTTGTTTTAAGCATTTGGAATTTATTTCACTGATGAAAGTGGCTGATATGTAGACGTGCTTATAGCTGATTTCACAAAACCCCACACATTTGAACCCAAAAATCTCAAGATGGTTTTAATAATTATTTTCATAACCATAATGCAACATAATCTGGCTCATTACCGTAATGCAACAAAATCTGGCTCATTACTGTAGTGCAAAAAAATCTGACTCGTTACCGTAATTTAACAAAATTTGATTTAATACCGTAACGCAACAAAATCTGGTTCATTACCATAATGCAAAAAATTTGATTCATTACCCTAATGCAGCAAAATCTGATTCATTACCGTAATGCAACAAAATCTGACTCTCTTCCATGATGTAACAATATCTGACTCATTATCATAATGCAAAAAAATTGGACTGGTTACCCTAATGCAAAAAAATCTGACTCATTACTGTAATACAACAAAATTGATTTATTACCGTAATGGAACAAAATCTGACTCATTACCGTAATGCAAAAAAATGACTGATTACCGTAACACAACAAAAAACTGACTCATTACAGTAATGTAACAAAATTTGATTCAATACCATAACGCAACAAAATCAGACTCATTACTGTAATGCTATAAAATCTGACTCATTACCGTAGTGCAACAAAATCTGACTCATTACTGTAATGCAACAAAAATCTGACTCATTACCGTAATGCAACAAAATTCTGACTCATTACTGTAACGCAAAAAAATTCTGACTTTTCCGTGATGCAACAAAAATATTACTCATTACAGTAATGCAACAAAAATCTGACTCATTAACGTAATGCAAAAAAATCTGACTTATTACTGTAATGCAACAAAATCTAACTCATTACCGTAGTGCAACAAAATCTGACTCATTACTGTAATGCAACAAAAATATTACTCATTACCGTAATGCAACAAAATCTGACTCATTACTGTAACGCAAAAAAATTCTAAAAAGACTTTACCGTGATGCAACAAAAATATTACTCATTACAGTAATGCAACAAAAATCTGACTCATTAACGTAATGCAAAAAAATCTGACTTATTACTGTAATGCAACAAAATCTGACTCATTGTCGTAATGCAACAAAAATCTGACTTATTATCGTAACGCAACAAAAATCTGAATTATTACCGTAATGCAACAAAAATCTTACTCATTACCCTAATGCAACAAAAATATGACTCATTACAGGCAACAAAAGTTTGACTCATTACCGTAATGCAACAAAATCTGACTTATTACTGTAATGCAACAAAATCTGACTCATTGTCGTAATGCAACAAAAATCTGACTTATTACCGTAATGCAACAAAAATCTCACTCATTACCGTAACGCAACAAAAATCGGACTCGTTTCTGTTATGCAGAATAATCTGATTCAATGACCAACAGAAAGATAGAATGTTGCATGGAAGAATCTATAAATTTGTTATAAATTATAGATTGTGGCATGTATTACACTTAGTTTAAAGGGAAAAAAAATAAGCCTTAGGTCGTTATATATTTTGGCTACTTTTTCAATGGTCATCCATCTTTAAGATGTATTATAATTTTTTTATGACACCTGCAAACAAAGATAACCTTTATTAATCAATAGATAGGTAAATAAGAAAAATACACAAGTCAAGGCAAATAATGTACATTACTGCATTAAAAAGCATATACTTGCAGCACATTTACAATATATATATATATATATATATATATATATATATATATATATATATATATATATATATATATATATATATATATATGAGACCTTTTCTTAACTGGTATACCTTGAACACGGTTATTGTCCCATGTCTAGCAGCGACTCTACGTGACTATTGCAGATCCACATATTGCAATATTGATGCTAAAACGATCTATTGTGCAGCCCTATACTGCACGTTTCATTTTGTTCACCAGGTTTTTTTTTTCTGGCATCATTCTAACCTCTAACATTCATACAATCTTTCCATAGTAAAAAACATTCTTTACAGGGATTAAAGACTCCAGGGGCCTCATGCACAACAACTTGCATTGAATTAATACTAAAACATTGCGTACAGACAAAGCTGTAAATGTGCGTACGCGGTAAAAAAATTCAGATGTATGAAACACTGCGTCCGCGGAATCCCACGCATATTCTCTTTGTACATACGAATTAACGTAAAACTGAGCGCACACAAAACCCCTCCCTGTCTCCTCCCCTGTATAAATATGCTAATGACTCTATTTGGCAAAACCACAGGAAAAAGCAATGGCAAAAGCAAGCAAGAAGAGAAACTTCACAGAGTGTGAATTGGAGGTGCTCTTATCAAAGGTAGACCGGAGAAAAACTGTGTTATTTGCAAGTTTGTCCTCCGGAATTAATTACAAAAGAAAATAATAGAGTGGGAGAGTTTAGCTGACGCGGTTAACGCAGTGGGGTCTGAACATCGCACTGTGAGTGAATTAAAAAAGAAATGGTCTGATATAAAGGTTAGATTAAGAGGAGATTAAGAGGAGAACATCGGCACACCGTCAAAGTGTGGCCTGAACAGGTGAGGGAACAGGGGATGTTGAAATAACACCCTTTGAGGAGAGAGTTGCCTCAATTGTGGGCGACACTTTACTGTCTGGAGTAGTATCAGTGTCTGTGGGAGCAACAGATGTATTAGAGGAACACTTTGTTAGGGAGGTATAGCAGAATCCACTCTGCTCTTATCAGGGCAGCGCCACTGACATTTCAGCTGCCCAATTGCCCACTCTACAACTGACCGAGTGCGAGAATGGGCATCATTGTGTGTATATATATATAAATAAATAAAAACTTCAATACATCACGCACCCTGCCACCTTGGAGCCTCCTCGCTGTCTCTCTTACCAAATTTGGACCAAACTCAGCACAGAGCTCCAAGAGGATAGCTCTTGGAAATCCGAAACGGCTAATAAGCCAGTCATCATCGTCGGCCAGAAGATCACTGTGATCCCTAAAAAAAAATCCCTAAAAACTTCATTCCCTTTGGATCCCACCATTGACAATGTCTTCTAATAAGGCCAACACTGCCATTGCCATTGACTTAGGGCTTGTATACATTTGCAAATGCTTTTATATGTTCTAAATCACATAACTGGTAAAAAATATTCTGTCAATTAACTAATTTTATCAATTATAAAGGAACAGCTTATAAATTAACATGTTTTTCACACGTGTTGGTGCGATACTTTGTCGTGTGCAATTCAACATAATTGCCTCTTGGAGTCGCCAGTGGAAAAAAACAAACACACACAAGAAATACACATACACCAGACATGAAGTTGGTGTAGACCAGCACACATTCTCATGGTAATTTCATTCATTCATTCATTCATTTTCTTGTTGGCTTAGACCCTTTATTAATCCGGGGTCGCCACAGCGGAATGAACCGCCAACTTATCCAGCAAGTTTTTACGCAGCGGATGCCCTTCCAGCCACAACCCATCTCTGGGAAACATCCACACACACATTCACACTCATACACTACGGATAATTTAGCCTACCCAATTTACCTGTACCGCATGTGTTTGGACTGTGGGGGAAACCAGAGCAAACCCACGCAAAGGCAGGGAGAACATGCAAACTCCACACAGAAACGCCAACTGAGCCGAGGTTCGATCCAGCGACCTTCTTGCTATGAGGCGACAGCACTACCTACTGCGCCACTGCTTCGCCTCATGGTAATTTCATCGTTGATAAATCATAAACATGAGCGTGAAACCTGCCGTATGCAAAGATTTTGTGTGTACGCAGCGTTGATATACACGAGGCCCCTGTTTTTTTTTCTGGCATCAATCTAATCTCTATCATTCATCAAATCTTTCCGCAGTACAAAACATCCTTTACAGTGGTTAAAGTCTAAACTATTCTTCACACTGAGAGAAAAAGGGATCTCTATAAATAAACCGTCCACTGAAAGGTTCTTCAGGGAGCTGAAACGTCTTCTGCTATTGCATCACTATGAGAAAAAAATAAAAAGTTCGGGAATCTTTAAGAGTGAAGCATAACAGCAGTGAGGGAGAAAACCAACCAGCTCAAGTGAAAATAGCTCATAAGTCTCTAAACATAGAGTCTGCTTTAGGTGATCGCATAAAAATAAATGTACTAAATACATACTGCAAGCAAACAGAGGGAGTTACTGTGTCTGAAAGCACACAGCAGCACTGAAGCCAACGCATTAAATCTGGAAGCAACAGAACGTCAAAATGAGAAAACAGACAAGGTTGTACTGTAAAAATAGCTCTGTCACTTTAACAAGCATAAGAGTTGCACTGCACTCTTCACTTATATGCACTCTGCTATGTGCCTTTATACAGAGGTGTGACAGTGTTTGTACTGTACCCATTTCTTTTCTTCTTCTTTTTTTTGTATGTTTTTCACATTTTAATGTTTCAGATCATCAAACTAACGTAAATAATACTCAAAGATGACACATGCAGTACATCATGCAGCTTAAAAATTAAGCTTTTAATTATGAAGGCAACACGAAATACAAAACTATATAGTCCTGTGTGAAAAAGTGTTTGGCTCAAAACCTAATAACTGCTTGGGCCATCTAGCGCTAATTTGCAATCTAGGGTTTTCGATAACTTGCAATGAGTCTGTTACAGCGCTGTGGAGGAATTTTGGCCCTCTCGTGTTTGCAATATTGTTGTATTTCAGCGCCTTTTGAGGGTTTTCAAGCATGAACTGCCTTTATAAAGTCATGCCTCAGCATCTCAATTACATTCAGGTCAGGACTTTGACTAGGCCACTCCAAATTCCTGATTTAGTTTTCCTTTGGCCCTCTGGCCACTCTTTTTCTAATTATTCTGATACAGCACTGTGGAGGAATTTTGACCCAATTATGTTTGTAGTATTGTTGTAATTTAGCCATTTTGTGCCACATTGTGTTTGAGCATTAACCGCCTTTTTAAGATCATCCCACATCATCTCTATGGGGTTCAGGTCAGGACTTTGACTAGGCCACTCCAAGTTCCTGAATTTGTTTTCCTTCAGCCATCAAGCATTTTCGATTACTTGCAATTAATCTGTTACAGCGCTGTGGAGCAATTTTGGCACACTCATTTTAGCAGAATTCTCATAATTCAGCCACACTAGATGGATGGATGGATGGATGGATGGATGGAATGACAGATAGATAGACAGACAGATAGACAGACAGACAGACAGACAGACAGACAGACAGACAGACAGACAGATATAGATAGATAGATAGATAGATAGATAGATAGATAGATAGATAGATTGATAGATTGATAGATTGATAGATAGATAGATAGATAGATAGATAGAAAGATAGATAGAAAGATAGATCATTTTAGTGAAAGGTTTACAGAGTGGCAGTTTTTACCCACACATTCCCACAGAATACCTTCATCAGTGTCTCAGACTGATCTCGGGTCATCTGATCTGCTCTGTTAGCCGAGTCTGTTAGAGGAAAAACTCTGCAGTTAGTTTGTGTTTGTGAGACACCAGTGAACATCATCATTATCAGAAGTGATTCATTCGCTCATTCTTCTCCTTTATTATGATTTACAAAAACAAATCATTTCACTTAAAATAAGTTAAAAAAAATTGCATTGAATTGAAAGTCACTGAATATGTGCAGCAGACTGAGAGAAGACGACTGAGGAGAGAGAAAAACTAAAAAGATAAAAAAAGAAGGGAGATTCTGAGCCGTTCGGTTAAAAGCCCAAAAACAGGGTGAAGAGGAGAAAAGATGTTTTCTCATGAACTTAAATGTAAAAAAGAAGCAAAAAAAAAAAACATATCAAATGTTGCCAAAAAACATCACTCACACTTCTCTGTTTGTTCAGTGTTCTAATAATGTTCCCAAAAATAATTAAAAATACTGTGCAAATAAATACCGGGAGAGAAACCTTTCCTCAGTCACAGATGCTCCTGGATCTCTCAGCTCATCACAATTTGACAGTTTTTCCCCTTTTCTTGAATATGATTATGACTACTTGAGTGAATCACAAAAAAACACGTCCAGTTTCAACCCAAAAATCTGAATATGCATATTTCCATAAGAATTAAGCATTCTCATTAGCATACTGCAATGCTTCCTATTAATTTTACTAATCTCATTCTCAAAGGCTTTCATTAGTGTAAAGAGTAGAGCAAAAATGATTCTTACAAATTAAAGAAAATTTTCTCACCCTCAGGCCACCAAAGACGTGACTCAGCTGAATCTGTGGAACTTCATATAATGCAAGTCAATGGTCACTCATGTTTAAGATTACAAATAAACACATACAAACATGTCCAAATCAATCCTTGTGGCTCCTGATGACACACTGTGCAAGAAATTGAACATTGTTTACAATATTATTACAGGCAAACAGTTCTCTGCATGTACATGAAAGTAGTGAGCATAATAGCAGTTTCTGCATCTTTGAAAATCACAGGTAAGAACTATTATGGCCTGTGCACTGAAAACTGTTTGCTGTATATTAAACATT